TCAGTCCAAACATGCTCTGCTATTCCGGATTTGTTGGTTTCTTCTCGCTGTGTGTGTTTCTTGAGCTCGGCAATGCGAACATCCAATGGCCTCTTAGTTTCACCAATATAGGATTTTCCGCACTCACAGGGTATCCGGTAAATGCAATTCTTGGAATCGCAGTCCGCGTTTCGTGTCCTGGTTTTCATGAGGCTGCTACGGATAGTCAGATCTCGAAGAAATAAGTCCAGTTATCACCCGAAGACGAACAGCACGTCCAGAACATAAAGATGAACGATGTATATTTTAATCTGACGCGCTTGAGTATTTCAAAATGACGAATTTTTTTTTGCACATTATAATAATGGCCGCTAGTTTGCGTCAGATCGAAATCGTCAGATCATTGAATGAGAGCTTTTTTTTTTGTTGCACTTAACACCCCCTCAGAAAATCTGACGCGCTCGATTGAATTTTTTTCACTTTCAACCCTTATGTACAACCACCCGCATCATGCAAACGATCAGATCAACATACGAACATTATTAAAAATATGTAGGACATTGATGCTATCAATATCTGACGCACTCGAGTATGTCCATATTCAAAAATCTATAGGCGCTTCCCCCACCGATGAAAAGGTATATATTATATAACATTTTTTTCTGCTTATAATCTAAGCTTTGAAACCTAATATGTCTCTATGACGTTCGAGTAAATCCCCATTTTGCATCGTGGGCTCCCCTATTACAACGAAACTTCGTCAACCACCTTCAAACAAGAGATGTGTAGGTCATACACCATTTTGGAATAACTACTTCCATATGAATATCATTTTGTTTCCGATTCAGTTTGTACTTCAGATATTCGTCACGGAATTGGAATAGCTATCAATTATGGAAATGCAACACATCGAAATATATGAAAGTGAATTTATGCAAAATACGTTAATGACAGTTCTTTGAAATATCAAGAATGATAACATTGATACAATCCAAACCGTGAGGTTTTATAGTGGATCATATCTATTCAAACTCGATCAAATAAATCCAGTTGTCATTATTTTGTTTGGTAAGCTGGTATAGTGAAACTTTGCTAGATGCCAAAAACCTGATCCGGTCTGTAGCGCTGCTTGTATAAAGGAGGTGATGTGCTGCCAAAGCCTGATTTATTTGTAGAGGATAATCCTCTCCTAGGTTGACAGACTATGGTACATTTCCCTCAATCTCGTATAGACCCGTGAGAAACACATTATGTGGTTTGGGCAGTAGATATCTGGTGATGCATATCATGGCTGCAGGGTAATAAATGTACTCATCAGCCACGATACGCTTTCTTGATCTTCTTAGGTGATCTGTAGCCATATAATGATAATATTAATACTGAAAATAACAATAGTAACTCTCTCCGCGGCCAGTAACAACACAAACTTTGACAGATCTACTCATCGGCACTGTCGGCGAAAAACAAAGTTACTGCAACAAATATGCTTGAAGTTCCCATCTTACGCTACTCATTTGGAGTAGTGAAGTGGACTCGAGAGGAGCTGTATCAGCTCGACGTAAAGACCCGAAAAAATTATACATCTGTATAGAAGTTTGCATCCCAAATCGTCCGTTCCACGGTAGTACTTCCCTGAACAACAGCGACGCCGTGGACTTTTGAGATTGGAGTGTCTACAAAACAGAATGGTACTGGATGTAGCCCGTAAAGTCGTCAGGAGTTCGGATCCCCTTCTCTACATGGTCCGCGACCATGAGAGATCAGGAACTAGATTATTTCTCTTTAGGGCAGCTGTCCGAGCAGCTGATGAACTCGGTTTAGCTTTCAACACTGAACGAGGTGATCTCAACTCTGTCACCGTTCAGCAAAAAACTCATATAAAGCCTCATTTCTGCGGCAACATAAAGATGAGCCAATGCATGGGGTCTTCCCCATTAACATTGAAGACCTTGGCCTATTAAAGCGCCTGACTTTTGCTTTCCTCAGGTCGAGTGGGCTGAAGTCGGAAACTGACGGGTTAATCATGGCATATGCCAGGATGGTGTCTTCAACACCTCAGTCTAGCGCAATCGTGTTATGGGTATAGAGGTTCCTGAAACAAGGTGGCACTACGGCACTCCTGCGGTATTGACAACACACCGGTGTGGCCCTACGCTCCAAGGAATATTGAATCCATTGTGGGGAACAAGAAGTGTCAAATTTATTGAAACTATTGGTTCCCCACCTCTAGGCTCTTACAAGCTAATAAGCCTGATATAGTCCTTCTTGACCACCAGAGCAAGACGATATTTGTCGTGGAGTTTTCAGCTCAGGGCGAGATGAATATCGTCCGAAAAGAGGAGAAGAAACGGATATAATATCGAGATTTTCTCTTCGAACTCCGCAGACTCTATCCAGACCACTTTGTCAAGATGGTTGTTCTGATTATTGGAGTCCTTGATGGTATGATGCCCTCTCTACTCTCGAATCTCAAAATCATACCGGCTTGCCGCACCAAGGCAGAAATCTTTGCCGGACATATTCAAAAGGCCGTCATTCTTGGCTCACTGCGCTCGTTCAGGGCACTTGATTTTTGTACCCAATGATCACTAATGTGTGGAGAGGTCGTTGGTTGATAATGCTGGCGTTCTCTCTCGAATGTATCGGGGCTTCGGGAGATAGGGCCTGGTCTTCATTGGGTGAAATAGGATATAAAAAACCAAAGTGCAAAGTTGTAAACTGCAGTGTAGAATGCTACAGGTTGGTTCTACCAAACATGTAACCGGAGCTCTTGAATCGTATTCGTGGACAATCTTCTGGAATATCCTTCACAACCACCATAATAGAATTCTGAAGAGACACTAGTTTTTTGGTAGGTATTGGGATTGTCGAATATTCAAGGTGAAAATTTTTATCTTATTAACCGCAGCAACCTTTCCATATCGATAATCTGTAAGACATCTATGGAGAGCTTTTTGGCATTTTGTTTGAGAGAATCATCGAATGAGCATGAATGTTTGTTGATCTGCAGAAAGGTACTTTATTTCCTTTTCTTTCGCAGAGTTTGGTTCTGCTCCTCAAGAATTTGGTGCTACATTATGATCTTAAGGTGGCGATAAATCGCTTTTTAAATTTACCATCTAGCCTGCTATATACATAGTTTGGATCAAGAAATGGAGAACTAAAAGGTTTTTGCTCATCTGTAAACTCAGGGGCAGATTCTTTGGCCCCTTTACGATCCACACGGGATTTCACGAGTAGCAAGGTCCATCGCGACAGAGCCCTGAGTCGTGACCACTCATATGGAGTAGAAAATTTATGACCACTGAATATTATTGATATGTTACTGTCATTCATTTCCATACGAAAAATCTCAGGTAGGCATCATTGAGAAGGCGATAATGCGCTTCGTAAATGCACCATCCAGTGCTAAGTTCATAATCTGGATCAAGAAATGTGGAACTAAAAAGTTCTTGCTCATTCGTAGACAGATTCTTTGGTCCCTTCACGATCCATACGGGATTTCACGAGTAGCAAGGTCCATCTCGACAGAGCCCTGAGTCGTGACCACTCATATGGAGAAGAAAATTTATGACCACTGAATATTATTGATACGTTACTGTCAGTCATTTCCACACGAAAGGTAGACATCAATGAGGAGGCGATAATGCGCTTCGTAAATGCACCATCTAGCTTGCTAGTTCATAATCTGGATCAAGAAATGTAGAACTAAAATATTCTTGCTCATTCGTAGACGCCAAATCCATTATATTGTCTTTCGTAACGTAACAGTTTCTTCAAGTCGAATGGAACACTTTTCCTTCTGTATTCATATTCCCACGAGAAACCAGAGAATAGAGTGGAACTTTTATATCCATTCCATTGACTCATTACGAGTCCCAACGCCAACGCCGTTCGGCATTTCCAAGAATTCTCCAGCTTTCCGGCGACATTTCCAGACAGCTAGTATCGTTTACGTCAGCGAGTTTCCCGCATAACAGGGGTGCATAAAGAGGAACACTCCTTATTAATAAATACCCCGTTGTGACTCGGAAAGCTTCATTATTTTCGTTGTGTCACGTTTTCTTTGTCCATTTTTAATACTGTTTTGTCGTGTGTTAGCATCAGCGCATTTCCTAGGAGAAAAAATATATACCTGCTTTTCGACCCTCATTCATATTTCATGATTCCTTGACGAATTCACCGATCCGCTAAAGGGGTGGTTGGAGAATGAAAAACGCGATAACCCGAGACAAACGACTCAGAAGAGAGTGTTATTATTTTTGTGTTTCAGCGCGAACTATCAAAAGTGGGTCATTATTTTGAGAAGTGGTTTCAGAAAGTGAATGCTCTGACAGTAACAAACTGCCATGTCAATAACTGATTCCAATGTAACCATTGTCATTTTTATATGATACTGCCAACGCTTTGTTGCTTCAGAGGCTATCAGAGTATAACATCCATTTTTTCTGCCATAGTGTGCCTTCGGCTTGTAACTGATAATAATGACCTTCAATAAAATTCATTCAATGATCAATATCAATTTTAAAATAGATAAGTACTTATTTATCTGGGATGACACACAATAAAAGTGCAAACCCAACCTCGAAACTGATCCTCTACGTAAAACAAAACTAACCTTGAGGCTGCTTAAATTTATTTTGAATAGCGATAGTATCAGTTTTGTGAAAACTGATAACTCATTATAAAGATAGGTAGAAACACTGGTGTTCAAAAAGATCCGCTTTCTCAAAAACTCTTGACGCGAGGAATGAGATTAACCCAACATTGTACACATGTTGATAGATGGAGCAAGAATCGAAATCTGTCGCTCGTATTTCATACAGATCTTTGGTTTATCACCCATAATGTGAAACATATTTCACTCAATATCAAATTATTCCCAAATGTGAATAACATTGAAAATTGGAGTACCAATTTGTCAAGTCATTAATTAACTGTTTTTTTATAATATTAGTGCTTGGCATATTCCAACAAAATGAAAGAATGAAAAATTTGTTAAAACCAAAAAAATATCAAATTTAATAAAAACTAAAAGGAGAAATGCCATAAGATTCCCGATGCTGAACTATACGTAAAAGCAGCAACGTAGTGGTCATGTAGTGTCCATTGTTGGCATTTTTGCCTTCGTGGTAAACGACGGCGAATAGCTTGTATTGCTTCTCTGTTGGAGACTGTGTTTCCGACGATACCAAAGTCGAATCAATCTTCAAGTCGAATTCAAAATCCAAAGCCTTGATAATCTTCGTGCAACGATCGTGGGTGAATTCGATAAACTTCAGATGCAAAATGAGGATAACGGGAAGTTTGCAGAGCATAATTTGCTCCCAGGCTTTGACCTTCTCGTTTGTTTTCGACGAAATCAGCCCCTCTGAACTGTTCTTGGAGACGAGTAGCTTAAGCGCTTCTCTGACATTCTTCACTTTCTCAATGTTGAGTGGCAGGGTGAGGAAAGGCTGGATATTCTCAATAATGTGGTCCCCGTGCTAGACTTCAGTTGCCCCCCGAAGATGTCACTTATCCGGGTACTGGTGAAGTCGATCCTTCTGGTTGGATGTTCTTTATTTTTTGATTCCACTATGTTCCATACATTATTTGAATCATTGCTCGAAGCAGAGTCAACGAGAGGTTTTTCATCGTCAATATAATATTTTACCAACTCTTTTAGCTCAAACATCTCATCATTGAGTCCATTCGAAGAAAACCTAGAAACTCTTCCGCACCTTGTTGCCTACCCTCGACCTAGTCAGTCCGCATGTTATGCAACATTTTATAAATCCACGTCGGACTGAATGGGATGCCAGTGTTAATTAAAACTTCTTGGTCATTCTTGAAATTTTTATCCAATCTCCCGTCTTTCGTCAAAATGTAGGAAGATACGTGAACAAACGACACTTTCAAAATATAACCGGAGTAGATTTCATTCTCTAATTCGACGAGATGTTTTTACTCAGTAAGTTGTAGAGTGGTGGACATGCGATCAGGGCTTGCAAAATCGAGTTGATTAAGTAATTGTTTTGATTAGGTAGACCCCTTGGCTGCAAGTTCACTGCCCTACCATCAATTATGTATGTAGATAGAAACATACCCGTCCTATATAAGTCTGGATCTACAAATTGGTGGGACTTTCTGGAGTGCTCCAAGGGGCATATGAGAAGATTGTCGTTGAACTCGTTTTCGGCGTCCTGGTCGATAGCGACTTCGTCGAACCCGTCGTTGATGGGTTCAGAGTTAGGCGGATGTTGGTGGTTCATCGTTGGGAAGATCACAGTGTGCGGGTAGTTGGCAAAAGGTGGAGATTCAGCTATTTGTTGAATCACCACAAAATTTTCCCAGGTTTGAAGATTTTTTCTCTTTTGCATTTGTCCTTTCATGATGTTGAAACCGTTAGTGTTCAGTTTGACTGTTAAGTACAATTCTTTTAGAACTAAAGTCTGATTTACTCTCATCAACGTTTGGATAATTTTTAACAGAAGGAGCTGGGGAGAAATCTCTTGTATCAGGAAACGTAAATATGTCAGACCAATTTTGTGGGCAAAAAAAGATTTCATCAAGTCTTTGAGAAGGAGAATTAGTGCTAAGAATTGATGCAGCATTTTCTCTCTAAATTGCAATGCTGATCCGTTGTAATAGAAATGATCTTGCTCTAGAAACGAGTGTACTGTAACTAGTTTTCGACTAATATCTCTGGAAAAATCGGAAGCAAAGGAACCAAAGCTACCAAATGTTTCAATGGCAATTAATTAAAAAATATATCGATTTTCCAGACGAATATATTTCCGCTGTTTCATTTTTTCAGCATATTCAGCGGCTCCACCAGCTGTTTGCGAAGTGAAGTCACTTTCAAGTGTACTCAGCACTTCTAGAATTGGAGGCTGAAACTGGCCATTGAAGAAGCCCACAAGAAGCACTGAGTCTGGTTGAGTATGGAACTATGGGAATACAAAAATAGTCACTTTTCTAAAGCACATCAACATCATAAAACCTTTCATTACCTTCACAATGGAGAAGGAAATCCACAACGAATTGTCATTCTTAGACGTATTGGTGAAGAAAACCGTCACTAAGTGGGAAACATCCCTTTACCGAAAACCCACTCACACGGAACAGTATCTGAATCACGAATCCAATAACCATGAATCTACCAACAGGAATCATGCTCTAGCGAATCGTGCTTTCGGGCTCTGTTATATGAAGGAAGATCTCGAAAGGGAACTAGGTATCATCAAAAAATAATCTTCAGCGGAATGGTTACTCAAAATCTATTCCAATAACATATGGAATAGATTTTGGATAGAAGACAGCAAGAGCCTCAAAGGGAAGAGAAGCCGTCGCAACCAGTGCTTGCCCTTCCCTACGGCAGAGGATTGTCGGAAAGGATAAGAAGAATTAGGTCCAGTCAACTTCCGCTGAACCTGTGAAGCGAAGAGAGGAAAGAGGGGATAGTTCAAAGCATTCGAATGAACCATAACTAGTCATCTCTCGGAGGAAATTTGAAAATGGCAAAAAATCGATCAGTATTCTATTTCATTTGTCACGTGCATTTGATACCATCAACTTCTTCTCGATGAACTTTATGATACTGCGGCCAAAGTCTAAAATGGATTAAGACTTATCTTATCTTCATCTTAACAGGTGAATTGAAGGGGATATATTTTTAGGTAGTGATTAATTTTTGTGAAAGAAAGTTTTTGGCTTTCTACTACTCCATCTTGATACAAGAAAAAGATGAGGGAACCTTCCAAAGAAAGGAAGAAAGTGATCAATTTGAAAATAAGTAACTCTATACATGGATGTGTAGATCATGCGAAGAAGTAACTTCTTGTAAGCAGTTATTTACTGAGTTACAAATTTTAACTGTGATATTCATGTATATTTTAAATTGTGTCACTTACTATGAGTTTCAGCAAAGGGATACTATCCGCATAGCTGCTGGTTATACTCTCAGGCAAAATTATAATCTGATAGTTCGTGTACACAAATTAACATCTGTATCAAACGGACCTCATGTTATGTCTATAAAAATATTCAATAAACTTTCAACTTTCATCAAGAACATTTCAAATCCCATGAATTTCAAAAATACCGTTAAAAATATTCTCTACAAGAATGCCTTTTATTCACTTGATGAATATTTTCAAACTGATCTGGCTGCTTGACATCACGATTATTTGCTTGTTTACTATTTTACTGTTTACACTATGTTTTTGTTTTAATTGTTTTATATAATTATCTCTTACATCTACTATTGATTTAATTTTTGTTATGTATATTCCATATTTTATCACTTCATATTTTTCAACTCCAATCTTTACTGTGTATGTAACGCTTTCCATGCTTGTAAAAAGTCTCAGGAAAAATAAAGTATTGTATTGCATTGTATTGTATCATAATAGATTTTTCAAACAAAACACAAGCACTACAGGAAAATCCTTAAGGCGCTCTCAGAGCAGTGCCTGTGCGATTCCACCAGGTTCTGTCCCTGAGCTTCCACATGGAGTATGTCATACATAGTGTTGAAATCGCGATCGTTCTCCAAAAGGTAGAACGCACAGGTGTAATTGATGTTCTTCAGCGTCTCAGAAACTATTCAACTGTTTTCAAAATTAATTCACCACCATCATCAACATGTATTTTATTGAATATTACTGGAGTTTTTTCCCAACACCAAACCGTTGTTTCAAGAGGAAGATCTTCCGTTTGAAGACGATCACTTGGTGATCGATATACGTGTCGAGGTGATGAAATAACGGTTTGATGTTGGGAAATAACTCCAGTAATATTCATTACGATACCAAAGGTTCCAAACAATGCATCACAAGTATGTATTTCATTATCGAAAATTCATTGATCCTACGAAAATTGGAATAATGATTTCTGACTCACTGATTTGTTTTCTTCATTTTCAATTCGTAACCATAAAGTTTCAACTCTTTCTGGGATTATAGTAGGTATAACTGACTCATCATGTGAATACTTTCGTCGAAAACTTCGAGCTTGATTTTACTAGACTCCATAGATTTAAAGAAACTGTTATGGGTGATCCTGTATATGCCTACATTGAAACTTTTTGCAGATGTGTTTGTCTGCATACCGCAGCGAGAGATGCGAACCACTATAAACTTCGAAAGAAAGTTAAATTGAGTTCTGATGAGGAATGGGAATGTAAATGTAACTCTGAAATTAAATAATGCGTGATGTAGATAATATACTTTCGGGTTGGTATTGCTGTAAATAGTATTAGCGGGGACTCTTTGTCGGCATTTCTGCAGGATCGCGAGTGCTCCCTACTCAATTCAGTTTCTAGTAGATTTGTATTCATTTCATTCCGAAATCAAGTTGTTTCGAAGTCGCAAACAGTATTTCAAACTTTTGAATAGCAGCCTTTGCAATTCCAGCGGCATGATTCTGCCGAAACATATTGGTGTCCATTTTAACCTCAAACAAAATGATCGTTGCAGAAAGCGAAACTGACCTGACATTATTATATCCGGTTCGGTTGGAAAAAATCGATGACTGGATTTTTGTGACATTAAATTGAACCTGGTTACTTTCAGCCCAATTCTTGATGGTTAAACTGAGCAAAACTGAGTAACTAGGACCAATATGACAATGACAACCAAACGTGACATATCCTACATATACTTAACTGAGAACGTCCTCCCGATATAACTGTCTGTTTTGTCTCAAAAGTCGAAACTTGTGCGAGCTAAGGACTAACGAGGGCTTACCTTTCAACGTGTGATTGCTAACACGGGTTGGACGATAGAAAGTGAAAATCAATCTTCCGGCCTCGCGGTTTGAAGCACTGTTTCACACAGCGGACGATTGAGTGGGTGGAGCAAACTACCCACGTCAACCTGACCGGCTACCATCCTACCTAATCAGATATCATTCATTGGAATATTACACAATATAACATATGAAAGAATCATAATATTTAATTTCACTCACACTGAACACTATCATCCTCAATGGTAGACTTTTAATTTTCGAAATAAGATACTTGTCGCGTTACTTCTTTCATTCATAACATCACGTCACGTATGAGTTACTATATCAGTACGTAATGATATACGCTTATTTGATATAATCCCAGCTATAGGAATCTTGTTTGAATCTAAAGGAGCACTTTTTTCGAAAATGAGGGTTTTTGGATTTCTAATTCTCCATCATTATACTTCTATCCACGATCTTCACATCTTTGTAAAAAGTTTATTTTGAACCTATATGCTTTCTTCCTTTCATTGGAAGTTTCACACAGTTTTTTGTTTTTGAGAAGATGGAAATGGAGGAACCAGACATCATAATGTCAGGGCTATCTGCGACGATTAATTATTTGGTTGTTGACTTGGATACCAATATGTTTTGATCCAATCACGTTATAACATCCTCTGAAAAATAGCTCTTCAACTTATATAAGTTATAAATAGACTGACCCGTCACTTAATAATAATCACACAATTATCAAATTCACATTTATAAATTAATTACACTCTCAGTTCTTGGACATTTTTTGAATATGAAAAAACTTCTTGGTAGTATTCATCAAAATCGTATCCGTGCTTTTCTGAGAGCAAAATGGAGAATGAAAGGTCACAGCTAATATCATCAAAATCTTGGATATTTTTTTACTGGGATGTCCTTTTACTATAAAAACTGATCATAGCAGTGTTTAAATTCATAGTGAATCCAAAACAAACACTTTCTAAACTTCAGCACTCACACATAATAATAATAATAATAATAATAGCCTTCATTACCCAACAGTTAAAAACCATTTAACCAGTCGGCTGTAAAAAGTTTTTGTACTTCTAGGTCTAAAATGAGGCACACAGAAATTTATAAGAGATAACACCACCATAGTATTCACATTGTTGTGCAGAAATTCATACAGAAAAATTATTCCAGCAAGTTTTTTGCGTAATAAGGCTAACCAGGTTATCAAAGAAACCATATTCGGAACAATAATGCAAATTTGTTGAAAGCAAGAAAATAAAGAAGCCACTATTGAATATCATACTGATGCTACGTGCCATGAAGAAGAAACTTGTTACAGTATAATTTCTCATAGAATAATTCTCTAGTTTTTGCACATAGCCGATAAATTGAATCACAACTATGTAATTTCTGGAATTTGAACACCTGACAGTTCCTGCTACTTCCTGGAAGTTGGAAGAGTGCAGTATCAATTTCGCAGATTGCAGCCGAAAGGGTGGAGCTAATGAATTGGATGAGTACTGAATTAGACTTGTTGCAATCCCTAGTACGTACGGATCTAGGAATTATAGGTATTAGTATGTGTAGTTTGTATAGTCACGAAGTAAAGATATTCTCTCTCTTCAAAACAAATTAGGTTGCATTAATTGAACTACTTAGGAAACAACTAAGCTGACCAGACTC